ACCACAGATTCAGCCCAAATCTACAGTAGGTTCCTGTGAGGCACCTCAGACTGCTTCCCTGCCTCCACGTGAATCACCCACTGTGGCTGAACTTCACTACCAAAAGTGCCTCCACAGGGCAGCCGATATCAACAAAGATGTCAGCCATCCTGATATAAATAAGTAAATACATACATGAAATAGGACTAAAAGCTCACCAATAATTGGACTAAAAGCTCAGAAATCCTCTTCTAGGCACCACAATCCCAGCCAAAAACCCACCTCAGGCCATCTTCAACTCTCAAGAGCTTTTGTATTCTTACCTCATGAGCACTCCAGTATGAGCCCATCCTGCTCCCAGCTGCATATAAGTCAGATATAGATGTCCACTGTTAGAGGCAACAGGTGGCAATGATTCACAAAGTACCTCTGCAAACTTTAAGGAGGCACCTGCTGAGGAGCAAGTGGTTTATCCATGCTCCGCCTTCCTCATTGCCTGAAAGGGAAAGTATGAAGAGAGGAGGGAATTTGCTGAGTTTATTTGATAGCTAAATATGAGAGGTGTGTGTTTGGGGAAGGCTGTACACACCAAGGTGCCAAGAGTTATCAGCAGTTCAAGATAAGGGAGTGATGACACATAACTTATGCATGGATACCTATGACTTGGCAGCCTAAGCAATGAATGAACCAGAGAAGATAATAGTAGCTACATGTAGGCTGGAGGAAACCAGTTCTACAGCACCCCAATCAGCAAACAAAAATATCATGGATGAAATAATGTTATAAGACCTTTTTGTTCAACAAAATTTTATTTATTTCCCTTTTCTTGGAGGTAGAGAGGCTTGAGTTGTTTGCTAGTAGATGTTTCCCCAATCTAATACATATATTTGTCAGTGGGATATACATTTTCCTGCTTTCAGAAGCCTTCCACAAACATGAAACTTCTGAGAAACCAAGACAAAGCCCCAAAAATTCTCCTGCAAATTAAAGCATATATTGATTCATCTTAAATATTAACATCTTGATATTTTAAGTACAATGCAGTGTCATCCAATTAGGACACAAAAATTACACCAAACTCTTCATATTTCTGGCAGAGAACTATGCAGCAGCAGATATGCACATGAATAGCCCTTGCACAAGTCCTGCTACTAACTTGCCCAGATGTCTGAAATGAAACTATCAGTTCAGAACTACAGGAGGTGATACTGTATGCTCACAGTACCCACAACCTGTCTTTCCCTTCCACACACACAGACATCAGGAAAAAACAAAATAAAGACAACTGACAACTTTACATTGAATAAAAATTACTTTAGTCATCAACCATTTTAGGATTAGAAATCTAACCTCAATACCCTTTCAATTAAAGAAATGTCAAAGCTTCAAAACAAGCTTGGCCAGCAGACCGGGAGAGGTAATTCTCCTCCTCTACTCTACTCATGTGAGACCCCACCTGGAATGCATCCACCTCTGGGGCCCCAACACTGAAAAGGTGTGGACCTGTTGGAGTGAGTCCATAGGAGGTCCATGAAGATGATGAGAGGGCAAAAGCACCTATTTTATTAGTCTGTTCTGCAGCAGCTGAACTGATGTTTCCTGAGCCATTCCCCGGGAAAGTCTAACTGGGGGATGAAGGGCTGCAGTAGCACTGAGACTCTGGAAGATGACGTTTTTCCCATAGGTAAAAAAAACAAAAAAACCCCAACAACCTCCCCCCAACAAAAAAAATAAAATCAACAAAACAAACACACACAAAAAATTGCACCAACAACAAAAAAAGCATACAAAGCAAACAAAAACCTCCCACAACCAAAACCAAAACAAACCAGAACAAAACCCAAGAACTCTAATAAACACAACCGAGAAGTTGTGGTGCTCACCAAAACATCTCTATCACACCCCCTTTTCAGCTGGACAATGGAGAGAAAACAATGAAAACTTGATGAAAGGCTCGTGGGTTGAGATAAGGTGAGGAAGAGATCATTGATTTATTACCAATCAGAGTAGGATAATGAGAAATAAAACTTAAATCATAAAACACCTTTCCCCCACTCCTCTCTTCTTCACAGGTTTAGCTTTACTCCTGATTTTCTCTACCTCCTCTACCCTAGCAGTTCAGGGGGACAGGAAATGAGAGCTGTGGTTAGGTCATGACACATGATCTCTGCAGCTCCTTCATCCTCAGTGGAAGGACCCCTCACACTGTTCCCCTTCCCCAGTATGGGGTCTCTCCCATGGGAGATAGTCCTCTATGAACTTCTCCAACTTGAGTCCTTCTCACAGGCTGCAGTTCTTTGCAAACTGCTCCAGTGTGGGTCCCTTCCCTGGGGTGCAGTCCTTCTGAAACAGACTGCTCCAGCATGGGTTCCTGCCAGCAAACTTGCTCCGGTGTAGGCTCCTCCCTCTATGGGAGGTCTTTCCAAGGACCTGCTCTAGCACAGGCTTCCCACAGTGTCACAGCCTCCTTCAGGCATCCACCTGCTCCAACATGGGGTTCCCCAGGGCTTGCATGTGAATATCTGCTCCACCATGGACCTCCATGGGCCAGAGGGGGACAGCCTGACTCTCCATGGTCATTTAACAGCTGGTTAAATAGTTAACAACTGTTCAGCACAGGCATCAGGTGAACCTCAGGTCCAAAGCCTTGAGCACCTCCTCCCCCTCCTACTTCACTAACCTTCATATCTACAGGGCTGTTTCTCACATTTCTCACTCCTCTCTCTGACTGCAATTGCTATTGCACAGCGTTTTTTTCCCCTTCTTAAACACCTTATCCCAGAGGCACTACAGCTGTCACTGATGGGCTCAGCTTTGGCCACCAGTGAGTCAACCTTGGAGCCAGATGGCATTGGCTCTGTCAGACATGGGGAAAGCTTCTGGCTGCTCCTCACAGAAGCTACAGGGGCTGCCTGCCTACCAAAACCTGCCCATGTAAACCAAATACAGGAGTGTTCAGCTGAGGTAGGGAATGACCGTATCACCCCAAAACAGCTGAGAAACAACCACTTCTGGGATAACTCAAGGAAAGAAAATGGAGGACCAATCTCCAGACCTCTGTCACCTCTCCTAACCAAGGGGTAGGCTCTGCGGGAGTTTCCTCCACAGTACGTGCTGGAGGAAGCATGGAGCTGGAGGAAGCCCATCCCAGACACTGGCTGTCAAGTGCCTCTCCTTGAAGAGAATCTACTAGCAGTCCCAGAACAGGACTTGGGACAAAACATCTAGTGTGAACATATGAAATGCCACATCAGTTGCTGAGAAGATACTATTTCTGGTTTAGTTCAAATTACCTGAGATTTTAGGGTGCATCACAAATTCTGAAAAGTGACATACAGAAGGTGGAGCAGGCTGTACAAGGAATCCTCAGAGAACTGTTTTCATTGTCTCAACAATACATGTTTTCTGACCAGTCTGAGGCTGGTAAAACCAGGAAGGAGCAGTGCTCACCATTCACAATCAAAAAGTCCACAGGCAAAGTCAAGCAGAGTATCTAATCCTGACAAAAATATCCCCAACAGGTAAAAACAGCTAAAAAGTGAAATTGCACCAGAGTACCTCAGGGAGCCTGAAGACTTGGCAAAATGGATGGAATACCCAGATCTTAACAATAACAGGAGAACTTTGATAAATATCATGATATCCTCCATGGCAGGCCTTAAGGAGTCAGTCACTATGCCCATTTTGGCAGTTCAGGTACCTTATTTTGAGCTCATGAGTGGCAGATCAGATAAGACAGTGAATGGAATTTTAGAAGATAAGGTTGAAATTGTCTATGTACCTTGTTGGAAAATTTGTGGAGAGAAGAGACTTCTGTAGCTCTTGCCTACTTGTTTTAGGCCAGGATCTACAAAGGAGTTGAGGTACTCCTGTAAGTCTCATCTTGGCTGACCTTTGACAAACTCCCAAATGCCAGCATCTACCTTTCTTTCACAATGGTTCTGTAGGACTATTATCAAGAAGTCAGCAAAAAATAACTTCTTAATCAGCTCCAGCTCTAGAAAAGAACACCTCTTTTTTTCGAGTTACCTCCGAGGAATAATTCACACTAGAAACAGAAGCTAAACATCTCTCTCTGCCATACTTTCTTGGTCTTTAGTGTGTTTGTGTGATGCACTGGGATGAAGTGAACAGAATATTGGTATCCTACTGCATTTCTCCAGTATGGTTCTCTTGTGTAATTATCATACACTCTGCAATCCCTTTTACATACTATCCATTTTGGTAATAGTTCAATTCACTATACTGAACAAGCTCCAGATGATGCTAAAGCAAAAATGCATTTTAAGAAGATAACTGCAGAACACACATGTGATCTGGGACAGAACAGAGTTGATTGTGAGAGGAAATGGCAATGGTCCTTCAAGACAAACCTGTAAGTTTGATTTAATTGATAAGAACAGATGTTGCCAAAGACCTAAACGGTCATGGATCTGTACCTTCATTATCTAATACAAATTGGAAAAAATCAAATATCCTTCATAAGATATTTATTTCACAACAGTTCATGACAAAAAGCACCTGGAAAACAAAATTCTTTAAAGGCAGAAGACCATTTAATTCAAGTTATTAAAACCAAGTAAAATTATTTCAATTGATACTTCATGGTCACCACCTTCTGTGTCTGAGGAGGGCTTTATGGACTTGCTACCAATAGTCTCAATGAAGTGCTGGAATATTTTGCATATGCAAAAATATTAGCAACTAGCCACCAAGACAATAGGAGGTTGCAGACAGAGAATGCTAAACTATTTCCCTATCACACACAGCTGAATTTTTGCCTCTTGAACATCACAGTGAGATGGGGTTAACAACACAGAGTGCTGTGTTTGATACTACAGCTCTGAATCAGAAAGCAAGTACTGCTTAATAAATTAAACTACATGGCTTGGAAACAAACACTTCAAGTTTTCATTTTTGAGAAGTTTACTTAGAAGGAGATGGCCCCTGTCAAGCACAGTGAAGTAGCTATCACATGTACTATCACAGTAAATATTTAGGAAGGGAGAGGAAAATGCTATTCAAGCAGAGGGCTGTGCTTGTGATACTGGCTGGCTAAGGGCTTGTTTCTTCCGTGCCACAGCCATACGCAAGGCCTGAAGAATCATGTTCTCATTATTCATGATGTTGTAATTAGTCAGCTTCAGGAGCTTGTTGAAATCTTCTGCTTTCAGTGAGACCTCTCTGGTTGAGTATGGAGAGCAGAAACTGGAGATATCAATCTTGCCCTGTTCCATTTCAGCAGCAGTACGTGACATGCCTGTCAAAGGAAAAAAGGAATGTGTTTGTACAGTCCCACAGAAATACCATACTCTGATAGAATACATCAAGAATAACTAGGAGAGATCACAGGTGCAATTACTATGATGACAAGTGCAGTGCTATGCTCTCTAAAAAATCTACTTCTGAACAAAGCCTATTGGAATGGAAAACACAAACAGTGGTGTCACTAAACGTCATTCCATTGCAATCAGCACCTTCTACTGGTCAGTTCATGGCACATCATTTTATGTGGTCACTAGTGCTCACGTCTTATGCTGCACATTCTTGAGTGCAGTACAAACTAAAAGGAATAAAGAGATACACAGGACAGGAGGAAGCAGAATATTAGTAGCCTTGGAAATCATCATAAAAGCAATGTCTCAAATACTCACCCAGAAGGACACAGTACATATCACTTTATGTACTATTGCTTTGATTTTCCAGCATAGTCAACCAACACATTAAATGGCCTAAATAGAAAGCACAGTGGTACTCCACAGAACCATTCTATACTGTGATTCTCCCCTAGATCTGACTGTCATAAAAATACATAATCTGAAAAATATGCTTTGTTCTACACATTAAAGTAAACATTTGGAAATTACAAGGAAAAAGTAGTTTCCATTCCTCTAATTGAGGAACACGTTCCTTCTTTCACTGAATTACATTAAGACTCAAACTAAAATTATGCACAAGATTTCACCAGATTTTGCAAACAGTTTGAATCATCACATTTTGCAGTATAATCGCTAGTAGGAACAAGCAAACAAAGGAGTTTTGTATTGGGATGAGGAAAAAGCACCCAGAGAGCGAGAAAGCTCACTGAATCATTAAAATTATCTGTGTACTGTTAACTTACCAGGTGCTACATATCTTTGAAAGGTATCATTCACTAATGGAAAATAAAGCAGCAGAGGAGCTCCTGGGGTGTCTGCACCATCAAACATGTAACACTCTTTCAGGTTCTTCTCGTCATCCTTCAGTCCAATGCAGGGAAATGGAATTCCCTGCTCTGCGAAGTACGTGCAAGCCTGCTCCAGGGGCTGGTTGTGGCCCAACAGCAGCAGCATAAGGAACAGAGAAGATACCCAAGATCAGACTGCTGCCAAAGCCTGGTAATTCATGCCAAATTGCACAAAAAACAGACTGAGAGCACTGGACAACCAGCAGTAATGTGAGCACCTGTAGCCCCAGGGACTGCTTTTCTGTTGCCTGAGGAGACATTTGGAAACAGTCTTAACTAAATTTGCAGTCCAAGACAGTAAGATTCACAGTCACATTATCTGTTTATATAGCAGTATAAACTTGTCCATTGACCTCAATAGATTTTAGTAGGGTTTTGAGACCACCCTACCCATTTCTATAACCCTGAATTTCAGAAATGAGATTTCAAGCTAACATATTTTAGACCTCAAAATATAGCACTAAAAACATTCATCAGAAAGCTCATTTGTGATGACCAACTTTGTTAAATTATCTAACAAAATACTATCACCTCAGTTGGAATTAAATATTTCCAAAAGAATTCTGAGTACAAGAAAAAACCGTAGTGCAATATATTTTTTTTCAGCTGCACTACAGAGACTAGTATTTTTTATGTGGCTTCACAGTGTAAGAGCACCATTAAAGTCTCTTCCACTCAAAAAAATGACAGAACCTTAACCAGTGAAATTTGTGTTTTCAGTGGTGTCCCTCAGGGTCAGTTTACAATTACAAGTCTATATTTTGAAGTCTAAATCTGTCTGTTTATGTGTGCAATATCACTTTCAAAATCTATGTAACCATTTTAACCAAATCAGATTCCTGCAAACATAGTAAATGCATTTGATATCTTGTTTAAAGTCCACTATTCAAGAAGAAAAACTGTATTTGTTAAAAGAAAAAGATGAGGAAATTCTTCACTTACTGGGTTGTTCCTGGACAGCTAGTAAATCACATGTTAATATAAAAAGACAAATAAAATTTTACATGCTTAAGCAAAGTACAGATTAAATTCAGCATCCGAATCACTAAGTTTTTCCAGCTATATTTGCATTATTAAATCTTACATATAACTATAACAGAAGTTGCAGCTTGACCTTCATAACTTCACTATGCTGCTCTATATTTCACTTGTGAAGCACTTAGGGCTATTTCAAAAGTAGTTTGAGAAAAATAGAGATATTTTCTTCTCTATAAATTTCCATTCCTCTTTTGAGATTTACAAACAGCATGTAACTAAATTCCACTAAGTTCCACGTTTTATAGACACCTGTCTAAAAGTTGTGAAGAGCAAAGGAAAAGCTGTTACTAAACAAAAACAGTTTTGAGACTTCTCACCAAAGTCTGTGATCCCCCTGTGTAATTTAAGTGTATGATGACATCCACTTTCCGCTCTGGTCTCATAAGGGGTGGGTAACTGGTTTCAAAGAAGAAAGCTGCATCCACCAGCTCCAAGTGTTCTGAGTTGCCTCTCAGGTCATTAGGACAGGTGTCTAGCAAAGTGTCTAAAGAGTAGAAGATTCAGAGCTATTAGCAAACTGCAGAGATATCTGTCAAGTTAGAAAGCAAAAGGAAGGTGAGCTTCCCTCCCATCCAGAATCTTCCTTTGCTTTAGGGTAGCATGCAGCAATCCTAAAGCTCCTTCACCCTCTCCACTCACATTTTGTTAGTGTTTCTAAACCCATGAACTGCACCAAACCCTAGGCAGATGTTGCCTATGTCCAGAGCCCCACTCTAGCATTTTTCATCCCATTGAGGACTTCCAGTACCAAAATGACCCAGAAACTGAACAGCTGTATTATTGAAAGTGAAAGGTGTGAGGAGTTACTCAGTTCTCCCTCCTGTCAGTAAACATAAAACTCATTCAATTCTCTTCAGGACATACAAATGTCTCTCACTAGTTCCCAGCCCCTGCGCCTGCCACAATGACTGCTGAGACATGTAGGCAGGAGAGCTGACCATACCTTTCCATTTTGTGAAATGTTCATGCTGGATATACTCATTGTGCATCTGGAGGCCTCTTAGGAAGTTGTGGTACTTGGAGACAGCAGGGCGATCTGTCAGGATATCCCGGAGAGTTGTGGAGAGGCCGCTCGTAGGAGTGAAAACGCACGTGGCCATCTCATATGGCTTCTCAGGCAAGTCTGGTTGTTCCTCTAGAGGTACATGGCATAAATGACATGCAACTGAATTATAACCACAAATAAGAAGAGGCTAGACACAGAGAGGAGAAATGTCTTCTGTACCAATAGTAATCATGTGTTCCCAGCTCTTGGCATTGTGATAGTTCTAGTTGGTTCAGGTGTGGACACCTGAATTCAACAGAAAATTGCAAATTATTTATATAAATCCAAGCATAAAGTTTGGAGGTTTTTTTTTTCTGAAAACATGGTCCACAGGAATGGGACATAAGTGTGTTCACTGGCTTTGCTTGAATTTTAACATGAAGATGCTCATGAGTATTGTCAAGAAATGGTCTTTAAGTATGGAGCTGCCTCTCTCAGCTGATGTAACAGAGTTTCACTACATTTACTTCATTTGACCTCTACTAAGTCTTTTGGTTTAGTTAGATTTTGAGAGAGGGATGTGCTGTGTAGGGCAAATAGATGTTGAAACAGGAACACTCAAGCTTCTCTCTGGCTGAAAAATAGGCTTTGACAGAAGGCTTTGACATGAGGCTTTGACAGAAGTATTTCTTTCAAGCCTTTTAAACACAACACTTTAGGGACCACCTTATGTATCCATCCCTATCTCCTTTGCACCAAGGCCTGTCTGATGGTGCCTTTCCTTCTTATCACAGTCTCACTATTTATGCAAAGCACTGACTATTCAGTAAAATCAAATCACTTGATTTTTCTGGTGTGTCCCATACCCAGAGACTGAGAGCAACAGGATGACAGAAAAACTCAAAAAATGAGAAATGTGAGTGCCGTTAGCCTGCTAGAGGGGCCTAGAGGAGGGTACTTTTATTTACCTATTTCAGTCACTTTGTCTTGGGTCCACCTGTGCCAGAAGTCCTCTGAATTGTCAGCTGCGTGCCAGGCATCCAAGAGGTTTTTGGAGAAGATACTACTCCACATTCCTAGAAAGTGGGAGAGACATAATAAGTAGTGTTGAGGTAAACACAATTAAGTTCTTTTTAAAACTGCCTTCTGTTCCTTCTGCAGCTCTTCTGTAACTTTTTCATATTTCTATGCAATTTTTGCACAAGTCCAGACACCTATTTCAGTGATAGATCAAACTCCAAAGGTAAACTTATTTCAGAAATAAATTCAAAATCTTTTCCCTCCCACTATGTTTATATGGAACATCTTTTTTTTTAATTTTACATCGTCATTTTCCTGTTTTCATTTCCTTTTTCTGTTGATAAAGGAATATTTTCAGCTAGCTCCTTCTCTGATTACCGTCTTTCTTGCTCCATTTTTTTCTTTTTAACTTTTCCATTAGCTTCCACAAAATTTCATAGATTTCCAACTTCGAAAATTTTTTGCAAGTTATGGGAAATAGTGATGCCTCAAAAGCACTCACAAAGGTACATGACAACTTATTTGTTATTTTAGTTTCATTTTATCATAGTCCAAATGATGAAACCACCTTTGCTAGCAAGGGTAGTTGAATGAGTCTCAGGAAACATAGAATTATGGAATATCCTGAGTTGGAAGGGATCCACAAAGATCATGAAATCCAACTCCTGGCCCTGCACAAGACAACCCTAAAAATTACACCATGTGCCTGAGAGCATTGGTCAAACTCATCTTGAACCCTGTCAGGCTTGGTGCTGTGACCACTTCCCTGAGGAGTCTGTCAGCTGACTGACCTGGTACCTATGCTTCCACGTGCATAACAGGTTTCTGGGGACTAATTTCCCAAATTATTGGTGTTTGTATTAAAATCTTGCCAATCCCCCAGGCTGGTGAGTCACCTTGCATGAAACAGATTCGGGACTCAGGGAGCTTCTTCATCAGGCGCCCCATGAAGAACTCACTGCCAAAATCCTCTGCACGAATGAAGGCGCCATACTTCAGGAAGCCCACCTCGTATGGTGTGAACTCCACCCACTCTGCCAACACATGCACCAACAACGTTAGCTCCACTACTGAAAAGAGTGCAGTTGCCAGTCTTGGAATAAACTTTTCAGGTGTCAGCTCTTGCGGGTAAGCTGGCTTAGCACATGTCCTGAGTAAACCCTGCTGACAGCCACTTAACCAACTATCTCACTATCTATGAGTTTGCGAAAGAGCAATGTCATGACTAAGGGAAAATTTTAATTCTTCTTTCTTTTTATTTAGTGAGTGCAAATGTTTCTCATGAAGGGTGGACTAGAACACAGATTGATTTCTATTGCTTTTATTGCCTTTAGCCAAGCATTAAAAACATAGAATCATAGAATGCTTAGGTTGGAACGGACCTTAAAGATCATCTAATTTCAACCCTCCTGCCATGGACAAGAACATACATTAAGCAAATATAAAGGTCCAGTGAATCCCTTTCTTTAAGAATTCTTAGCAGTCCTGAGACTGTGTCACAGAATTATGTTGTGTTATTAGTCTGAAATTAATATCTGAATATGCACAGTCACGTGCCAAGAGAGTTTACAAAATACTGAACTGTCACTGTCTATTCCGTGGCTGCTCAGTTACTCTTTACATTTTGGAACAGTACTTCTAGTGGCTTTGAATGAGAATTTAAAACAATTCATCATGATTTACAGTATCCCCACAGTGTATCTCCCTAGTTGAAAATATAGCTCTTTTTCAGATTTGAAACATTACCTCTAAAATCTTTGGTGGCAACTTTGTCCTTGACATTCAGGGCGAGGTAGATGGGCAGAGGGTTCTGACCTTGATTCACTGCCTGACGTTGATCAGAAAGTCTGTGGTGGCTTTTCTGGATTTGGAAAAAACCTGAAGAGTTAGTTGATGATCAATTCTTTAAAGACATCAGCTTATAAAATCTGACATATGATTTTCCTAAATGTCATCCTGAATTTAATTCCATGTGCTTGAATAACAGAGGACAAGAAAATCATGTTAGCAGGAATAATTTCTGCTAAGATAACCATTCATGTTTTGCATTCTGTATACATTGACAGCAATGAGTTGCTTCACATGCTTCTAGCTTTACATTTTTAAATGTAAGTCAACAAACAGGGCAGATCTGAGTAATTCAGCTGTTATCATATACTTCATCTGTTAATCATAAGGGTTCTTCAAGGCAGCATGTTAATGATCCTTCTAATCTTTTTTTTAAATGCTATATTGAAAGTTAACATCCACAGAAGAAAAATCCTTGAGCTGTCCAATACTAAAAACTTATACATGAAATGGAGATTTTGAGTATACTTCAACCAAATTAAATTCTAGAAAATTTTGCTATGCAACACTGAGGTTTGAAATACAGTGTGAAATATGATATGAAATGAGATTTTTTAGTTTTATCTGTTTCCTCTAGACAAAACATAAACCATGTTTACAGGATGTAAAAATAAAATAGCTTTTTCTCCAGCTATTGTCAGGCTTCTAGTTTACATGGAAGGTTTTGCTTGTGTCATTACAACAAAATTAGAAACTGGAGGTCCGGAGAGATCAAATTCAAAGTGGCTGAAAGGCACCTACAAAGTCATAGTTTTGGCAGTTAAGATGTCTCAGGAGCTCTGGATCTATATAGTTTCTTATCACTAAATCCCAAAGTTCTGTACATATGAGGTACATCTGCAGTACATTCAAGTTATGAGTGCAGCTAGTGTAAATATTGCAGCAGTGGAGAGATAAAAACATGGGGCCATAAAAAGCACCTAAGAAACTCAAAATTTTCTTGGACAGATACAGTGTTAATTAGTTGGTTACTTTAGAGCTAGTCTGAGCATTTCTATGTTACATTCTATGACACTTTAGGCTCCAGTGTAGACATAATCTATCTCCAAGTTATTAATGTAACTAAGTGGTGTTCTGCCTGCATACCAACTACAGTGTTATTGACCAGGTTCTCTTCCTACGGCTTTAATTTCTTGTAATGGTCATAAATATTAAGTCAACAACTTTATGAGAAGAAAGATGTATAGACATTACCCCATCATTCAACATGGATTCAATCATGAGCCCCCAGAGATCAATAAAAGAGGTTTTATGTCCTGCTTGGGTCCTTTGGCTCAGCTCTCTGTAATAATTCCTTAGACTTTTCAAGCAAAAAGCCCCCATCTTGCACTTGGCTGCTTGCTTCCGTGCTTCAATAATTATTTCTCCGAGATCCTTACGTGACCAATCAGCATCTTCATATAGCTTTGTCATTGTCCTGCAGGCAGGAAACATGATGGAAAGCAGGGGAAAATGAACAAGATCCTTTTGAAGCTCAGAGAATACACTTTGCAGAGCTTTGGGCACTTAATATTTTATCTTTTAGTTACTCTCCTCTTTGAGCTTACTTTGAGCAGAAATGCAAGTCTAAAGGCAACTAGTCAAAAATCACTTGATCTGGGATCCAACACATGCATCTACACGAGCTGTCTGTGCTGTTTCTGTCCAACAGTAAATAATCATAAAGCATCATTTTTGCACAGGATTAAGGATGTTTGCCCTTCCAATAAAGTCTACTCTTTTGGTTAGGGATAGGTTACTTCAGTGACACTAAATGTATGATGTACAACAGTCCTTTCATAGATGACCTTGGCATTAATAGCCCAAAGATGGAAGCAATAATTCAATTCACCACCTTTACCCTGAGACCAAGACAGCATGGATTTTTCTTAACACAACAAACTCCAAGCAACAGTATCAAAATGTCTCCTCACCATGTTGTGCCAGATGAGCCACTGATGTATGAAATACAATCCAGAACACGCAACTTTTGAAGGCCCAAAATGCTGCCATACATGCCAGTGAGTGCTCTTATCCCACATCCTGCTGTGGTCACAGCCACTATAGGCACCTGTTCAAGACAAAAAAAAAAAAAAAGAGAAGAAAACATAGATGGAAAAGTGGCATTAAGAAACAAACAATGTCAAAAGATTACAGAAATGCAAAAGTAACATCCAAACACTAGTAAAATAAACACATACATTAGAGATAAAGCAACACTGCTCTATAAAGCTGCAGGGCATCCCTGTGGAATATATTAGATCTTGGCACTTCAGGAAGGATTTTTATGAAACACAGGCCAAACCTATTGGTTTGAAGCTCCTTCAAATGATTCATTTGAAAGCCAACTAGAAACAGAAGTTCTGGTCATCCAAACAGACAGCTGAACTGTCCAGTTGAGATCATTCTGGTGGCAAACAGCACCCTGGAAGAGAAGCTCCTGTCAAAGGTCCTCACTCATTCAGATGCAGGTAAAAAATCACTTCTTATCTCCAGGCCTGAGAGAAAGGAGAGAGAAAAATCCGCCAACAGTACCCTTCCTGATTACCTCATGCTCTTGCAGCTCTTCCTCCAAATGAAGAACATCTTTTAGTGCAGCAGCAACCACCTTCCTCCGGTTTTGCAGGAAATTCTGTTCATCAGTGCAGAGGTCGAACCCCAAGCGGGCATCTAGGTTTCTTGGCCTGAAACACAGACCCTGAGTCCTGTGACCAGGGCAAAAATGTTCTTATTGTGGACACCTCCAGCTGTGCTTGTGTGTGTTTACAGACCAGATTGTGGACAGTATAACATAATAAATGAGAAAGAACAACACACTTCTAGTTTTATTTGCTCATATAATTATTTTTTCAAGTTTCAATAGTTGCTGCCATATGTGCCTATAACTAGGCAACCACTGTCAACAGGCATTGCAGTTGAATAGGGAAACAGCTACTATGTCTTGAAGTAACTTGTATAATTCAGAAAAATCATTTCTTTGCAAAGCTGCTCTATCCATCTGTGGGCACAGTAGTGCACACAAATCAAGATCTATTACTGAGATGCACTAGCAGTTTGGAAATTTGGAGGAAAAGGGACTCATGATTTAATTCACCATCAATGTGAAAAGGAAAACCTGGCAAATAATGAACTCACATATCTGCTTAGAACTGGACTTGCACAGCCCCCTCTGATTTCAAATGAGCTTTGTGTAGGAGCAAATGTCTCCTAGTTAGTGGATCAGGTCTTGCTGGAGACTCACTTACCATTCATTTGCCTTTGTGTACAAGTCAATTGTCCTGTCCTGAAAATCACAATACAGACAGTGTAAGCAGTGTAACCTGTGCCTTCCTTCCCTATTCCATCTAGGGCCTGAGTTTCCCTGTCTTGGAAGTATGAAACATAGCTGGAGAATCTGGCCAGCAATGGTCTGGGCTGTGAGAGATATTAACAAGCTCCAGCACTGCCTGAGTTGAGTAGAAATGGGCCATTCACAGGAGCTAGGTGGGCTTAGGGCTCCTCAGTTTCTCATAATTTAACCTTCATTTTCTGGGAGGGTCACGGAAAGCTGGACATCTGAACCACACACATATGGATGTTCTCTGTTTGATCTTCTGCTTCAAGCATTCCCTTTGCAAATGTATATCTTACTTGTCATATCCATTACTGTTAGCTCACATACTATGTTGATGAACAAACATATTAGACATGTCCCGAGGAAGTTAGTTTAAACTCAGAACAGGATTACACAGGGTATGACTGGAACCACGTGCACAATAAAAGAAAAAATAAATATTGCATAATTGCAGAGTGACTGTCTTTCACACCTTATACTGTAGCATGCTTCATGTCTCACAGGAACTGAATCACTGAACTGTAAGACTAATCATTCATCAAACTGATGGTGTTGGGCTACTTTGTGTTAGGAAAGATTTGTTCTCACCTCTGCTATTGTTATTTTCTCTTGTATAGGAAGTGAGTTTAGAGGTAGAGTCACAGACTCGTTCATATCCCTTTCATTTTGACTTGATGTAGACTGGAAAAACGGATGAGAGAAAAAATAAACAAGACAGTTACCTATTATACAAAAAAAAGGAGAAAAAAAAGTAAAAGCAGTCTCCTGTCTCACTTGCATGCATGCACTTATCAATTCCCTACATACACAGATCTGCACAAGCACTCAGATCTTAGTGGTCCCCAAAGAAATACACAGCAAATAGCCAGCTATGTGTTAGTGGCAATTACGTACCCTGCTGAGATGCCTCCGCCGTGGTAGAGCCACAGTGAGCGCCGACTGACTGTACTTGATGTAGTGGAACCTGGCCGGGGAGGTCGGGCAGAGACAGGAGCTCAGTGTGTGGGTCTGGGTTCCTTCATATGACCCGTCTACGGTTAACGCAAACTTTCTCTCTGAAGCAAAGGTGTTTCAAACTTAAGTTCTTCAAAAAATTGGGGTAATTTCTTTGCACAGTAATGTAACATATGTTTTTCTTAAGTAATTACTTCATTTTGACACCCAAATTATAGGAAAAATAAATAGACTGACTCGTCTGAGGGTTTCAGCTTTAGAGCTGGTGTGCAGAAGGCGCCATATAGCTTTAGCACTACTGCACTTACATATATATGTGATTGCTGAGACTACTGCTGTATTCATTAGGTAAGGACTCACAGCTGATAATAGTTTTGGGGGAAAATCACACTCTCTTCTGAAATTTTCAAAATACCTTAGTATTATACCAGAAAAATATTTTAGTATTGCATACTGTCTTATTGCTGAGATGTTTTGAAAATTCTAGACTTGGTGGAAAAAACATGGGGTTTTGTAGCAGAGAAAAACTCTCTCTGGAATCAGTAAAATCTCAGTCCCTCTATTATGTTTTCCTTTCCTTCAACCTGTAATATTTCTTTTGAAATATTTCTAGCACTTACAAAAATAGTGTCTGGTGGTTTTCTGTCTTCATGCAGTAAGCCTCAGATATGTCTGTTCAAGTAATTAAAAATGGTCTTTACATAGAATATCAGCCTAAGTTCAAGGTGAAATATACTCTGTAAATCCACACACTCCAAAGTATATAATCAACCTTCAAAAGAATTATCCCACTCAAGCATCTTCAGTCACATCTATCAAACTTTTTCACTGTGACAGCTGAGTTCAGCTGGATCATCCACGTGCTTAAGCAGTGTGCTGAATTGAGGTCATAAGGAGATGTCAGAATGAGATGTTTGAAAAGTTGCGTAGGAGGTACACAATTCCACAGGTCTGGACTTGACATGGTAGTGATACACTGCTTGAAATGTGCAACAAATGTCTCTGCAAATATACTGTGAGTCTTGTGTTTCACTAGTGGCATGTTTAATATTGTTATACCTAAAAAATTTTATTAAGTTAAATGGTAAAAGAGGCCTAATCCTCTTTCTGCCCATTTCCTTTTTCTCAGAATCCAGAAACAACAGGAGTTAGCTTGAGTGTAGGACTCAAAAAAATTCAATCACTTGCACAAACACTTTGGAAAATTGCAAGCATCTGGCAAGATGTTATTGCAGAGGAAAATATTTTGTGGGGAAATTAGACCACGTGCTCATCACACCACATTCTGGGATAATTTGTATATTTTTGATCAACTACAACCCCCTCCACAGGCCACTGGCATCAGTGGCATTTTGTCTGGCACCTTAAATATTTTTAAACTAGGATGTTCAAGCGTAAAACACTAAGTGCTTTCACCATAAAGTGGCAACCAGATTTCCTCATTAAGTCAGTGAAAGGCTCACCCATAGTGTCCTTCCTCATCCTCCCACCGTTCACCTGCACCTCCAAACAGGAAACTTCACGGGACTGTAAGAGACAACCAGGGCAAGAGATAAAGGCATTTGCTACCAGTAGAGCTCTGCCTCCTCCAATCCCTTGGAACATAGGTCTCAGGGCATGCACCTCAAGGGAGAGGTGATGCCAGACTGTAATCCCCCTACCAGGTCTAGGGAGATGGGATCAGGCTTCCACATGGGAAATAACAGATCACATAGAGATGAGGAAAGAGGAAGGATATACTTGCTTCTACCTGGAGGAGCAGCCCTGCAAGGGCCTGGGAGAGGACTGGCCACAGGAGAAGACTCTCCAAACAATGCTCAGCCAAGCTGTCCCTGGGCAGATGGAGGGATGTCACACACCTGAGCCCAGCTCAGTTTAGGCAAGCGCTGGCAGCAGCTCACAGTTTTCGCAGCTTCAGCCTCTCCCAGCATGAGTCACTATCTGGGACCGCATGGGAAAGCCAGAGCTAACACCAGCTTTAGCCTGCCTCTTGGTCAATGCCTTCATGCCACCATATGGAGCAACTGCCTGGTACCTTTAATACTAGCTTTGCAATAAACATTCTTATATAGCAGGGAAAAAGATTATGAAATAAAAATTACCACTAAAACTCCATTAGTAACAATGTTTTCAGGAGGATCTGGACTGAAAGACAAAATGGAAAACAACCAATTCAAAACCAACACACTCTTCTTTTTCTTTATTCTTTTTTTTTTTTTTAACTCTTCTTTAATGGTTATTTCATTATCTCTATCTTTAAAAGTCCATCTTCGGACAGGCAGCATGGACAAACAGTATCAGAAATTCAACCTGCACATTCAATCCATTTTGCCTCTCACAGGCTTGAGTCTGAACTTCAAACAATTTATGGACAAGTGCTGAACAGAGGAGGTCCTCACTGTATCAGGCAGGATTGTGTCCTGACACACTGAAGAAAATTTACACAGGGATGGCATATTTACAGGCATAATTACACTATTGCCCCATATCGTTCAGTTCAAATCTGTGGAATCAGAGCTAAAAAGCTGGTGAATTCATCCAACATTTCATTTAAAAAAGAAAAAAATACCATCAAATGATGGTACCTTAAAAACCAACAGCAGCACTAAGACTGATCTACATCATTCTCTCCATTAACTGCACAGTCAGCACAGAAACACAGTAAAAAAAATTTTTAATCTATTCCTAAAACAAATTCCAAGTATCATTTTCCCGTAATCTTATGACAAAGAAAATATCTGGGATCCCACAAGTAAGGAGAAAGAAGGGTTTTAAACTTATAATTTCCTTCTCTCATCAGAGACATCTCTATGCCCCCATCAGCACTTGTGCTTGCTTTTCTCTATGTCTGGATGCCCAGTGTAGAAGCATGCACATCATGCATGGTCATGCACCCCTTCTCCATTAAATGCTCTACAAGGTGTTTCCTGAACACCGAAATCTACCCTCTGCTTTATTCAGGTGGTGACAGTGTTAGGGGGCTGCATGTGTAAACTATGCTTTCTATCAGTAACCTGATGTCTCTGCCTTATATTTTGTTGCCTATTTCACCTCACGCACCTGCTCTCCATTGTGAATTCAACCTCCAGCTCCTCTTTTCCCTGCAAAAGAAAACAAAGACAGTCACAGCAGGTTGGTCTGCCTGCAAAGAGAGATACCGTACAGGAATCTGTGCTCTTCAGAGTTCTCTATAAGCCAGTGTCCACCTCTTGTTACTGCATATGCCACAATTTTATTCATGTTGTATTTGGATACTTCTAGTATCACATACTTCTAGCATCATATCCATTAATTTAGCAAACTCCTAGTTTAGACCTTTGCAGGACACACGTAATACATACTACAGGGCCTCTTGGTGGCTGTTCCCCCTTTCTGCAGTCTTGGGTTCCCACCTCCCACCTGCATTATTTCACAGGCCACTTACATTTCCCCTTTTCTTTCTCCTCACATGGGTTCTCACACTCCCCACTGATTCTTAGCATGTGTGAAAGTGGATTTCTCCAGTTCATACAAATCATTCTAACCCTCTCCCAGCCCTCACTCACTCATGCAGATGGGCCTGGTGGCACAGTAACATGGTGGCACACTTGGCTGTATGAAGCCCAGGGTGTTCTGGAGGGTGCACTTTGGTTTGGTGGAGTCTGTACACATAGACTCTTTGTGTGCTCATCTTTATCTTTTGTAATTGCTTGTCCCTGAGATTTTCTTTCTCATTAGAGGTTTTTGTGCAATTCCCATGACCTTCTTGCCCTCCCAGTGTAAGCACTAAGGAGAACGTGGCACGGAGAGCCAGCCTTTCCAAAAGAGGTATCAAATCAAATCAACGTTCACTCAAGTCCTTCCAGGCCTAAACATTGCCCTCGAAACTTTACTATGAAGTTGTCCCAACCACACGAAATTGAGATCTGATGAAAAACACAATTTTTTAAATAATTCAGTTCTGCAAGTGTTATGTTCATTTTCTAAATTAGCTAAAAGCCATACTGGGGTTGGGTTTACGACTACAGATCATTACTTTTGTATTAGCAAAACATAACACAGAGCTCAAAACCACCAGCTACAACTGCAAAACTAATGGGGTAAACTCATTTTGACATCAAGGACAGTAAACAGACAATTAAGTCCAATTACATTGGCCAGCTCTTTCTGTAGAAGCACCATCCAAATTTTGCCATAATTACAGAAACAACTGTAGGTATGAACCCCTGCAACAGACAGACATACTCAGGTATGGACAGTAAGAAAGGCTTGTATAGGACACATAAGAGGAAAGCTGAGATACTCATATTCTCACCTGACTCCACCCCCTTTTCTTTGTCCTTGAAATTTATCCATACCTGTGGATTCAGCTGGAAACTTAGCTGAATGTTTTCCCCGAGTTGGATTTTGGAGACATCAAAGAATACAGTGAGGAGATGGTCATCTTGAGTTACATTGTCCTCATCACAAACTTTTAGTTCCAGAATGTTCTGGAATAAAAATTAATTAATTAATTAATTAATTAATTAAATATTAAAGGTTTAACAGACATAACATGCTACAGATATTTTATTTTAGCTGAACAAAGTTGAGAAAGAATTTCAAGAATGAAAAAATATAAACATTGCAGTTGCTCTCTACATACTTTATTGGCTATGCAGGCAGATGCAGTCTTACCCAGCCATCAAAAGCTAAATAGGCACAGCAAGAGAGTGTGAATACAGTAAGAAAGTGTGAATACTTCTCAAGGGAACTCAGAAAGACCCACAGAATGGAAGGGCTATACGGTGTGTTTGATATCTGGTAAGAATAGCTGGAGGTATCTGCACTCTTACCTTAACCTGGCTCTGAATTGTGAAGTGGAAGGTTTCATTCCATGTTGGATTCTTGCTGTTCTGGACTGTCTTGGTGCGGAAATGCTGCACTGAAGCTGTTGGCAGGCTCAGGCTCACATAGCAATCAGACTGAGTTACTGTTGAAGAGAGGGAAAGCAGGAAAACAATGGATCAGTGAAACAATCTAGTACCCCATAAGGTGATGCACTGTGTGAATTTTTAAGCTCAGTACATAAAGCAATACACAGAATGCAGACAAACAAGCTAAGTGGGGTACCATCAGGCCACTGCTAGACAACTGTCTTGCTTTACTATTGTGAAAGCCTGGTAGCGTGCTTTCTTGAGAATTACTTTTTCTAAATTCCTGGAAAAATAACAAATGCTCAAAATATGCAATTGCGTTGCTGAAAAGCCATCCATATGGATATGGGCCCGTACACACAGCAATGCCACAGGGCTGGGCACTGTGGACCTTAGCAGCTGTGATAGGGGCTACCAAATGGACAGAGCCCATCTTCTATACACTGGGCTTCCACAGGTAGGCATGAACCTGCCTTAGTATGTCTAGAGTAGCTCTAGATTTATGTTTTGTCTCTTCTACCTTCTGGAGCATCCTTCCTTTTTTCTGAGTCCTCTGGCTGCCAATGCAGCAGGGATAGGTGCTCATTGCATTGAAGGTTCCCATGAAGCCCCACTGCTGTCACAGAAGACACGTCTTCCACCCAGGTATCTGCTCTCAGTCTGTTTTCTTCCCTTTTTGGAAATTTAAAGAAGGGGGAACACAGTGCACCACAGACCTCAACAGCACAGATTTTCAAGACAAAAAAAATTCAAGAAAAAAATTCAAGAGCTGTGGAGATGAGAGGAACTGAATTTAATCTTCTGTAAGTGGTTTAGAATGAGCACAGATAAGAAAAGCATTGAAAAGTTGAACAGTTTGATGGCTAACATTTGCTTTGAGAAGCAACTGTCCTGAGGCAGGGTTTCACCAGTAAAGCTGTATAAAAATATATATTGCTTAATGTCACTATTTTCACCTGCATCTCTGTGCCTCAGCCAGCACAGTAAAAGTATTTGCAACACTAAATGTGTAGGTGAAAGCTTGTCTGTGTTTCACAGCAAGGAGAGAGCTGATGTGGCTTCTTTGCATGAAATTGCATTGCTTTTGCCTCCACTGGAGGCGAGTTCAGGTCATAAAGTTCCCCTACCAATTTTAATGTTCCCAGATGTAGTGAGGACAGCTTTAGTCTTTTTATTTTCCTTTCTCAGCTGAAGAGGCCAGTTGTAGGGTTGAGCTTCCCACCTGAGCTCCATCATAAGTGATGGACATTAAGGGCCAAAGTTTTGGTATGAAACAGTCATTAGGAGAAGTCTGCAGTGCTTATATCATCAAGCACTTTCATTCTAAGATCAGAATAATCTACCTGCTAATATATTTTGTCATCATTGTTAGGAAATAAAAGACAAATGTGAATAATGAGATTAACAATCCCGTGGACCCACACTCAGAAGTCAGGGATGATTACCCTATAGAACACAATCTTTTGGTTAGGGATGACAACATATACAAGTGGCAAAGATAGCATGAGGAGTATTGCCCATAAATGCCAATTCCATTATTAGAATTGCATTTCCTCTATTTGTAATGCCATGTACTCAGCATTCTTGCTGTTGCGTAGCAAACAAACTTGAATGGTAGTGGAATAGGCTTAAGTGTTGTCACACTTAGTTTTACTGGTAGACCTGATTTGGGGAAACACAGAATAATTGTCTCGGCCCTTTATTGTCTCCCCATCTGCAACTCAAGGGTTAACAAAGCCAGCCTTTTTCTGACCCCCACCCCATCTCCCCTGAGGCTTAAGTCATCTTTATTTCTTTTTTAGTAACTCTGAATGTAAAAACAGCTACTTTGACTGATGAAAGTAGTTGTTGTATACTCTAAGATATATGAATTCTACAAAAATATCAAAAGGCATAGACATCACCTGAGCTTCTAACAATTCTAATAGCTCTCAAAATTCTGTGTGTATACAGGAAATGTCCATATGAAAATCTTTTTTGGCTCTTAGGAAATCCAGACTGACATTAGAACAGATCGCTGTTGGCTCTTGTCCCCACTAGAAGGACCAGAAGGACCCAAATGGATAAGGCTGTGGGTGAACCAAAGTTTATTTCCTTGACACTTCCCAAATAGCAACACATTCTCTGACTACTCTGTTGCAAAGAAAAAAAAGTACTATTTTGAAAGTCCATCAATTATTTTTTTTCTGTAATTGATCACTCTCTGCTACAACATTGTGTCATACACCTGTAAGAAATAACTACCTGTCAGACAGCAGAGCTCTGACTTCTCATTTAGATCTCCAACTTTCTCTAGGGCACTTCTGACCCAGTCACTAAACAAGCATGCTTCCCTCTTCCCATCTGCCAAATGCATTTGGTGATGTGTTTTGTAGTTCAGAGGTGTCCTCTGAAACCTAATTACTTCTTGTTTGTGACATATTTTCCAGATGTTATGAGGGAGGCACTTAAAACACCCAGGAACCTTTTTTTATACATCTCTGATACCTCAGATCCATATTCTGCCTGACCAGTTCCAGGTACAAGCAGATGGGAGAAATGGCAAACCACAGCATATCCTGTGCCTAAACTGGTTGGTCACTCCACAATATCCCATTGCCTTTCCACGTACACATACAAGGCTCCCACTGCCAGCCACATGCAAGAAAGTCATTGTCACCCTGGTATGTAAGCCTAACCACACCTAACTACAACAATTACACTCACACAGTATACAGACAACAAAGCATCACAACAGTGACCTGTTGTGTCCCTCCCCTCAGCCATGACACATGAACAGCCATCAGACATGCTTGGGGCAGCAGCTGTGGTATCACTGTGGGGCAATATCCTACCAAAAGCAGGTGTGGCAGCAGGTATTTATGAAAGCATGGTCTCTTCGTCCAGTTATTATGCTAAGTGTCTAATTATCTTCCAGTTTAATAGCAGGACTGGATCTTAATTATGCTTTACCATTAGAAAGCATTACAGCAATATGACACATGCTAAAAAACACCATAGCCCCAGCATCATGCTGTGTCCCAAGCAGTAGGGCACCAGCAATTCTGGCTCAAGATGAAATCTCACCTGTCTCAGAGAGAGGTCAAATTCAAGCAGGGTTAAACAAAGAAAAAATTATTCATTCCACCTCCTTTTTTGATCCGATGTCCAGCCCACTGTAACTTGGGCAGAAGCCTCAAGCATCTTCTCCTCTTGGACTACCTTTAGCTGTTCACTATTTCTAGGGGGTAGATTTTTCATTACTGTCATGGTATAGTTTTTTTCTTATTGTAGTGAAAGAATCTGAACCAAAACTGTGGTCTCAAACACTGTTTGCCCTGATCATCATCTTGATCAGGTCTCCCTGGATTCGGATCTATCCAAGTTATAAAATACAAAATATCATCACCAGCTGAGAGAAGCATTTTTCTTCTTCAAATACTGTGTAGGTGAGTAGATACCTGGCTGAAGGCAAGTGGACAGGCCGGGATTGCTGTTTCCTGGAGCACAGAATATTAGATAATTTACATAATTAAAACTTTTTTATATTCTTTTTTTTAAATAAAAATGTGAGTTACTTCCGTGAAAGTAAACACAATCCTTCTCAAGGCCCTTTACAGTCAGACTATCAGAATTCATTCTGTCCTGGGAGATCAGTTCCTGTCTCCAGGGAGCATTCAATATTAATCTTCTAATAGCTAAATTTCAACATAAAGCTTCCACACTTTCTCCCACCCTGCCCTTCACACTGGGTGGAGCACCTTATAAATATCCCAAAGCAGTATCAGTAGTCTCATTTACACCCCTCCTTAAAACACCCCTTTGCTGAGGTGTTGCTAAACAACCTTACTGTTTCTTTCCCGGTTTTTCCCTTGTTGGGCTTTATCAGTCCACATCCTCTGATTTTATAAATGTATTTCATGCAGCACCTAGAACAATAGGCTGTTGGTGCGTAATTGTAAGTGCTTAAATGGTGAAGTAAGTAATAAATAACAACGAAACAATAAGAACAGCACAAGAACAGAACACCAGAGGAAGTCTGCAGGTTCCTGCAATAAGTATCACATTGGACCGTAGTCCCTCAAACACTAATGTATTTCACTGATTATATTTCTTTTCAGGATCTCAAGGGCCTTTGCAGAAACTGATCTGTGGCAGAACTGCTACTACAATCCTGTAAAAAAAATGTATTTATAAAAATGTAAAATATACTTAATAATATTATAAAATATAGTATCAAATTAATGTCTTATATTAAAAAATCTAAAACTTTAAATTTCCAAAATTAAAAAGTATAATTAAAAAAAATCCGTAAAAGCTTCAAAAATATAATTTTCTTACTAAGAAAATGCTGACGAATATTTTTAACACCAGTCAAGGTTCCTTTAGTCTAGGGCCCACAGGCACTGAGGCCACTGAGGGATCTTGGATGTTTTCAGGAAGCAGGAAATGATGGCTTAAAATTGCTCAGCTCAGTATCCCCATCCATTTGCCTGCTTTTACTTTATTTATACCCTTAATACTGTGTTTTCTTTTCTTTTGCATTTGTTAATTTCACTTAATGATTTCGTTTCTCTGCGGTATCTTGTTCTTTAGTCCCTTTGACTTCTTTTTTTTTAGGGAAGGACCTTTGGTCTTGTTAAGGTTAGCCACCAGTGCCAGAAGTAAATATGTCCCACATTTAGTGATGGGTGTCTAAGGAAGAGTATAAGAGGGCAAACATCATATAATGCTCACTCAGCCCTCACAATTTAAGATTCAGACACTTCACGAGCCAATCTTCACTGGATTTTTTTCTTCTATGGACTTGTCCAGTTTCCACCTGAAACTCACATAAACTTCCAGCATTTGTCATCTCCTACCAAGGGGAGTTCCCAAACAAAAAGCCATGTCCTTCTATTTGCTCTGGAGGTGTGGTGGTTGTCCAAGGTCTGTGAGAGACTGAGTTTGAAATCTGAAGTTCTCTGCAGAGAAAGCTGTATTTTTAAGGCTGGGTTGGATTGGTGCACATCGAAGTCTCACCCCAGTAGGGAGTTAGGATGCATAGGGGACACACACCCAAATCTGGGAACTGGCAAGTTCCCAGAGGAATATCAAGAGGCCTAATGAGCCTGATGGGGATGTGGGTGTGCTCAGTGAGAGACACGAATGTGGAGAACATAAACAAATTAACTAAATTAACAGGTGTTATCAATGATATCAGCTATGCATCAATACACAAGTGGAAATTACTATTATAAATTACACACTGAGGGATGAGTGGGAAGAAAACACAGAATAGTGCAATGGTGCATTAAAAAGTCAGGGTTTAAAAGGCGGAATGAAACAATTTAAGTTGTCTTAGATAAAAATATTCCCTTATGCACTGAACTTCCACCAGAAGTCTTCTGTTATCTATTCCATAGGAACGTTAGTGAGGTTTTGAGATTCTCTTGTAATGGATTAATTTCCCCATCTCCATTATTTGGAAAATGGAGAAGATAGACCAATAGTCAAGTCAAACTTTAACACCAGGTTGGGAGACTACTTAGACACTACATGAGTATTAAACAAAGTGATCCAAAAACTCTACAGAAATCTAGTGCAAGATTGGGCACAACTGGCAAGAGATAGAAGAAGCAGTTTAAAACATCAAAAATCAATAAGGTACCTGAAAAAATAGGTGACACTTGACAACCTGTTCTATATACAAAATTTTGCATAAAAAGGAAAGTAACAAAAAAAAAAGAGCTGGGAAAAGAAAGAATTAGAAAAAAAAAAAATCAGTGTTAGGAAAATGGTACTGTAAAGAAGTCCACTTCACTTGTGATGGAGGGCCACATGCTTCTGAGTTTCATAAGGCTGTGTCAAGCTCATCTCTATAGAACTGTAAAGATGAATGAATCAACTCAACAATATTCCCCCAGTTTTACAAGCAAACCAGGAAAATTTTGCACATTTTTTTTTATCTCAAGACTCTCATTTTGCTGCTTCTCAGTGAAAGTCCTATAAAGTTATAAATATGTAACTTTTACTAGTTTTTACATTGTCCATAAAATTAGGCAGAGATTAAATTAGTTCATTAAAACTTTTGAAATATAGGCTTATTTTATATGATAAAGAGACTATCAATGAAATATACAACTTCTACAAGCTTGGCTGCACAGAAAAACATGTTCTCAAACTGCTTTAAAGGAAATCTTTCTGGTAAATACTGCTCACAAATTTTATGCTCAGTAAAATCAAATGTTATTGGAATTAAGCAGCTGTCAGTCAAAACTAGATTCAACATTTAAACATAAGCAAGGCAGTGTGCCCTGACTGGTATGGTTTTCTTTTCCCACAGGATCAATGTCCACAACAAGCAAAGCATTCACCTTTTACAAGCATTTTTTCTGTTTTCTTTCTTCAAATTGTTTTTTCTCCTCAATATTTTGACTGATACTTCCATTTCAAAGAGAGGATAGCTTGCCAGTGTTGGTGGTGAATGTTGTTCTGTTTTGTGGGCAACATCCAGTATATGCTTCACAGTGTCAGGTTACAGCCTCAGTCTGGAAAGCCCATGCTCTGGCTTTACTGCTGCTTCAGATGCTGTGCTGCACTACAAAATCACATCTGTCATTCTAACTGCTCCTTTAAAAAGCTTTGTGGGCTGGTGGGACATAACTTGGACCTGGAAGCAGAAATGCCTGAGCATTTCAGTACCTGTCCCATGTCCTAGAAGCTTTCTGATATTGTAAAGGACAGCATCAAAACATAGTAAACTCCATTCAGAATAAAAAATAGTTTCAAGAAGCATTGATCTAGATGAGAAAAAGGTGGAGAGGAAGTTTGGTAAGTTCATTATCATGCAGATGGTTTAATAGAACATGATTATCTGGGGAGATACCTAAGGGCTGTAGTTTTCCACAGCTCGCTCTTTCAGTTCAGTGTGCATATTTGAACATTCAAATAGGTTTTAGCTGTAGCAGGGGATTTCTCTCCAGACTATAACTGAGCTTCAAATCTCCTTTCTAGGCTGTAGAAGTAGTCCAGTGGGAAGGTTCATACAGATTCTTCTTCCCCATACATTCAGCATCAACAAAGTATCTTACTGCTCTTCAATAAATGCTGGAGCAAGAAACTCTTCTTCACATGGTCTCTAGGGAAATTGTCACAGAACTTGAAGCAAATCACATTAGAAAGGCACAAAAAGATATCTTGTCTTGCATCTTTTTAACTGAAAAACTTTACTTTTGTCCTGTTCCTATACAAACTTTCTGGATTCAGACCTTTTTATTTGCATAAATGAACAGATGCAAGACAAAATCAGTCACCTTCTCAGACTGGAGGTGATTGTCATTCACACCTTTTTTTCTAGTGCTTTGCAGTTCAGACATTTATGGACCATTAATAAACACTTATGTAGCTATATTCCTGGGCATTTTGTAAAAATAATTAAGAATAGAAAAAGCTAACTGTGAGCCCTCAATTAAGTTTCGAAACATGGCTGTGCCTATGGCTGAATCAAATTTGACAGTCCATAAGCTGTCAAGTGTGCAGTCCTGAGCCCACATAAAATATCCTGTGATAGGCCCAGGGTTACACAGGCTAGATATTACAGTAAGATGGAACCATAGAATGGAATTTCTTATTCAGTCTTTCCTGTGAACAAAAGAAAATTTATTTGCAGATCCAGATGTGAAACATTTTATCCATTCTGTGTAAACATGTTCTGCATTACAACTGGTGGATAGACTTCAGTGTTGTATTGGCAAGTATGTAAGAATAAATAGTATCTTCTGACTGTGCTACCTCATCTTCAGCATACCATGATCACACATCTAATGTTTGTCTCCTTTTATAAATAGTCTGTAGTGTTTGTGACACTTGGTAATATTCAGAGTAGCTTTACAAGCACAAGGATGCTTCTCCAAAGATACTCACACAAGTCTGCTTTCCTGGCATTTTTCATCTGTATGACTTTTACAGTAAGCAAGTTGCATGGAGAGGGTTCTGTCTGTTGAAAAGTACAAAATGGATAGGATGAGCAGGCAGAAAGGAAGAACAGAAGCATAATCAAGGACAACACTGAATTAAGTGTTTCAGTTCCAATCAACAAAACATTTCTAAACCAAGGTCCCTCCTTGAGTATTGTCTTCTTCTTCCCAGAAGGTTTGTAACCAGGTGTGGCCACAGACACAAAATGTACAATAACAGACCAAACCTCTGATGTTGTCCACTTCCCAATCTGAGAAAACTTGTGGTAACCCTTAGTTTGACGTGTCTGACTCTTACAACCAATCTCAGAGAAATGTGTGATAGAGAACCTTGCTGTGTTAAAAATACAGCTGACACACATCTTGGTCTGTGAAAATTCACAGAATGTCATATATATCCACTATATTACACAATGAACAGCAAACAACCTAGCAGGGCAGGAATTAGTAACGATATCATGGTGTAACAATGCTGCTCATAAGTTGATTTATAGCTACATAATACCAATCTTGATGTAGAGCAGTGCTGGGTTTTAAACAACGAGGACCTAAAAAGTGCCTTTTAGAGACCCATCCCAAACTTCTCAGAAGGGCTGAGAGCCCCAGCTCTGTAGTTATTTCTCTCTGAATAATTCGGCTCACCCAATCTTCCTGTAAGCAAAACTCTCAGGGAAGTATCAAAGGAAATATTTGCAGCCCTCCTGTAGTTAAAGGGGGTTATAAAAAAGAGGGAGAGCGCATTTTTACACAGATAGTGATAGGATGAGGGGCAACAGACTTAAACTAAAAAAGAAGAGATTTGGATTAGATATTAGGAAGAAATCCTTTACCCAGAGGGTGGTGAGGCACTGGGACAGGTTGCCCAGAGAACTTGTGGATGCCCCATCCCTGGAAGTGTTCAAGGCCAGACAAGATGGGGCCCTGAGCAACCTGGTCTTGTGGGTGGCCCATGGTGAGGGGGATGGACCTAAATGATTTTTAAGGTTCCTTCCAACCCAAGCCATTATATGATTCTAATTTTGGGAAACCACCTAAACCTAAGTAGTTATCAAAAGACATTTAAAAAACCTGCAAGGAAACTGGTTTGTTTTTGTCATTCTCTCTCAGCCTAAGCAAAGATCAGACAAAAAGAGTACTTAATGAGTATATAGGAGCTGAAGGTGAGGTACTTTTTTCCCTAGATAAGTATCCTTCTTAAAGGAATAAAAGGAGGAAAAACTGCACATTTAATGATCTAAATGACAAAAAACTCCCAAAACAATAACAACAACAAACACACACACAAAATCCAAACAACAAACAAACAAACCCTAAAAAAACTCCAACAAAACTACACCAAAAAACAAGGGGAGCAAAGAGGAAAGAGAAAAACTAAGTAGTGAAGCAACAAACACATATGAGAGACATTTCATGCACACTACCTACAGAGCAGGGGGTATCACAGCAACAAATACATAGATAAATATATAAAAATGTGCAATGTCTTACCATTCATTCCCTTATGACCCAAAACTGCCACAAATTTGAGAGAACTATATTTAACACCTCATGTCATATTAGTTTCCTGACTTTTCCTATGCACTCATTGACATTAGTGATAACTATTTATTTTTCCTCAGTGGGTTGTTTTGCCTAGCCTCATTCAGTGGAAGCAAGAAGGTATCTTTTTTTTTCTTTCTAATTGGGGATTTTCAAAATAGATAAATTACTGCATCATTAAAGTCTTTGCATTTCTGAAGGCCAAAACACAAAGTAGTCACAAAACCCAGACAGCAGCCCTGCTTTGCTCTCAGCTTTGGTGCTGAAGAAGAATTCTCAGAGCAAATTGCAAGTGTCAGAACACCACCTCCTACAGCAGGTCCCATCTGCCACCAATGGACAGCCAGCTCAGCTCATTGCAGAGCCTCCTCTTGCCTTTTCTTACCTCACTTTTGCTGTAGAACAGTCCCATTGTGGTCTTTTCCGCCTCTGAGCCAGGTGTGAAAGGTGTAGATGGATGGGTAGAGAGGAACTTCTTGTGCTTTAGGCTGCCGGGAGCAGGCAGGCAGGTGAGTTAGTGCTTGACTCAGAGCAGCCTCACCCCGCCACCACCACTTGAGCAATTCCCAACTCCTCCTCTCCCTCCTCCTCCTACTCCTTCCTGCCCGGAACGTGAGTGCACACTGCACACCTGCACAAAAGCACATACACCCAGCCTCTGGCACTGCAGAAGGATGGTCTTTGCTGCTGTTGTTACAGAGAAATTGAGACTGAAAAGGGATCTTCTCTTCACAGTTATAGGCACTGAGCAAATGTTACTTTTCAGCATCCTCATCACTTTCTGGCACACAGGAGAGCTTGTCAAACTGCAACCTCTTGTGGGAAGGTGACTGGAACCAGCCAGGTTCCATCTGGCTGCCCAGGAATGGGCAACAAGGACTTCTTTAGCCAAGAACATCTGAACAAACCAATGGTCAAACAAAAGACTTTTTTGTAGTTTTTACAGCCTATAGGGGGTAGGTAGGTTTTTGCTTAAAGACATACCTGAAAGAATTTTTATTGTCCCCGTCTCACATTCGGTTCTTCTAAACTCAAGCAGTAAACTGTCTTTCAACCAAACAGATATTGCAGTGACAAATACCACGTGAAACAATTCCCAAGTCACCTGTTGACACTGTAATAGAATTTTCTTTATAAAGAAAAAGCTTTAAAAGCTCACTCACTTTCTCAAAAATTTTGTTATTTTTTGCGTGCAAATTAAGGTGTTTCGGTGATCTCCAAGAGGATACATTTGTGAGAGTGAAATTAATGTTGAAATTAATGTTAATTATTCTTCATATTCTCATGTATTCTTTATGTCTTCACATTTATAAGGCTTCACGTGCAGGACACTACACATCATGTGAGGTGGTTCCTGCCTCAGTGAGGGAATACATGAAGTGAGCACACAAGAAGTAAAATGGGAGTTTGAGGGTTGTTTTTTTAAATAATCCTTGCTATTATGAAAATTAACAGAGGAATCGATTTCAAAATAATTTCATTTCACTTTGCAATGTATTGAGAACTGATGGATAAAGGCAATTTCATGGATATGAAAGAATTTTAATTTCCTAGAACATTTGGTACTTTGTGACATTCTAACTTAAGAACTAGACCCAACAAGTGTCACCCAGATAAACTTTGAACACATTAAGGAAGGCTAAATAACAGATTACAAAAAGCAGTAGTCAAAGGAAGGAAAATATTCCTAGAGATTTGGCAAAAGCTCAGTTATAAGCCTAAATGTTTTTATGGATGATCTTGAAATTAAAAATATATATAAAAAAGTCACTAGCACTCTGTTTCAAAAAGAAGATATTGAAACACTGGGAAACTGAAGAGCTGCAGAATCATCTGGAGAGCAAGAGGAACTCTCTCAGAGAGGGAAAGGCAGGTTTCATATCAGACAGCTGGACACAATGAAAAGTCATGTTAAACAGGTTCAGGTTGCATTCTACACCTGCCTGGCTTTTTTCCATCCTGTGGTTCAGTAAGTTTCCCCTGTGAAACAGACTGAAACATCCTCCATTCTGCTCTGTTTCATTTCCAGCAAAAAGTTCTAGGAAACCATGACACTAATCTCAAATATATCTCTATAAAGGACACAGAGGGATCACATGAGTTGATAATCTAGTGTATTGGAGCAGAACCACAATTACAGCTGCCTCACACATGGAGGGATAATAACTAGATTTAAACATACAATACTGTACCTAAAACCAGGGTTACACCATGCCCCTTCAAGTTTTTTCAGGAGCACAAACACAATGAACGTGCTCATAAGTGAAAAACATTGCCCACTCATCCTCTTCCACCACCCGATTTTTTCTAAGATGCACTGTCAGCTGGGTTTTTTTCATAGGAAGGAATCTTTTTCCCCCATCCATTACCTAGAACTTCATTCCATAAAAACAAATTTGTCACTTTTGAGCACAGTCAAGACTCTTCTGATCTCAGCACTAATTCTGCCCTGATGACTCTGTCTGAAGTTCATTGCAACAATGGGAGCCTTTTATTAACAAAAGAAAGATAATCCAAAACATTTTCCAAGTTGCTGTGAATAATCTCTTCATGAATCACAGCTCCGTGGTGCAAGGTTGCTGTTGTGAAAGACTGAGCTTGTGATCTGTCTGCTGCAGAACTGTGAGAGTCCACCTTCCCCAAGAAACTCTAGGATTTTTGATGATGAGAAACCACTCTTTCAGGACAATCCCTGCAAAGACCATTTACCTGTAAGTGTTGAACAGATGTAAAAAATATGTCTGGAAGGGAACTCTAAAGGCTCTCCTGCATTACCTTCTTCTATGCAAATAGCTGACAGCCACTTCCCACCTCATGAAACACTGGGAGAAATTGCAAGGTCATCCTTTAGGAGCAGTCAAGGCAAGTAAAGATGAGTGAGATAGGACAGTCAGAGTCCAGGAGAAAACTGAAGTAAAATTGGGCAATATGTCTACTGCTTAGGCTGAATATAAGTGGTTCTGTGAACAGCAGCTCAGTTTTTTATCTCCTGAAAAAAAAATTACCTAATCCAGGGGTATTTTTTGTTGGTGGTGAAAACTTTATAGATTTTACAATAGTGATAATAACTTAAGAAATTTATTTTAAAGGATTACTGATGAAAGACAGCTAAATAAAAACCTCATAGTGGACAGACAATCAAATCAGAGATGACAACCTTCAATAATGAAGATAAGCAGGACCAGTACAATGGATTAGTTATTTACCAAAGAAATTCCAGTTTGAGGGATTGGTGTTTTGCCAAATGGAAAACCCACCATGTAAATACTGTTTTGATACACATTTTAATGTTCCACATATTTCATTGTCTTACACAACATTATAATAATTTATGTGAACTACATATAACAATTGTTAAAGTAACAAGGTAACAAAACTAAAACCAAATTTGCTGCTTTGAAGTTTCTTTTGTATAAAACCACTGCTAAATTCCAGTCTGTTTGCCTGAACATCTGTGTAAATAGGGTGGAGTCCAGCATGTCCTTAGGATGATGTGATTTCTACTGCAAGTATAACTGGCAAGCGTCAAACGTCTTGATCTTACCAAACCATAGACAATCCAAGAAATATCATACAGAAAGTTAAAGCCAGTGTGTGGTGGCTAATAATTCCGCTGCTTCCTCCGTGCCACTGCCAAGCGCAAGGCCCGAATAATCAACTTCTCGTTATTCAAGACATTGTAATCAGTCAGTTTCACCAGTTTGTCAAAATTTTCTTCGCTGAAACACACCTCCCTTGTTGTAAATGGTGAGAGGATGCTGGAGACATCAACTTTGCCTTCAGCCATCTCTTCAGGACTCCGTTCCACACCTGAGGGACAAACCGCAAGGAGATGCACTAATAAGGTTTTATTGCAGCATGTGGCTCCTATCAGTCATTTACATAATTATAGGTAGAAAAGGGAGATATGGAAGGAAAGATATAATTTGCCAGAGGGATGTAAAAGTAACCTAGTAGCACTGTATTCTTCAGCATCTGGATCAAGCCTGTATCCAAATATGATTTTACATCGTTTGACATTTACATCACCCAAACAGGTGGAAATCAGAACAACATTAGCTGCAGCAACGCCAGACCACTGCATAGTCTTTGTTACCCAAACCAAAGCACAAGCAAAAGGCAAACAAGATACACCTGTACTAGATAAAATAACAACCCTCTCACTGAAAGTTCAGAAGAAATTATTGCACTCAGACAGAGGACATCATTCAAATTAAAACTGAAGATCTCTGTCCACTCAGTTCTCAGTCTGGGGGATTACTTTTAAATACATGAACAAAACCCAGGTGAATGGGTTTACCACCAAAACCACCAGAAGGTTTTGCATCTTTCTTTGCAACCAGCAGCGCATAACAAACCCATGTCTGTAGAGTAAAATAGCTTGTGTTGAGGACCTACCGCCCCTGGTATACGTATTTTGGGGTTTTTACCTTCATACTCTCTCTAGTAGTTCCTGTGATATAATTGCCTATACTCATCTCAAAAGTATTCAGAAAAGCTTCTGGAGCTCAGATAGTTCAGACATACTGACACAGACCAGGTTTGGGTTTGTTTTTTTTCACTGATGAGGCTGATAATGCTGACATTGGAATGGTAAAATATGATAGTGAGACATTAGACATGAAATGGAGAGGACTCACTGGGAAAAAGAATTTTTATTAAAATTGCTACCACAGATGACTCACCAGGAGCTTTATATTTCTTGAAGGTGTCATTTACTAGAGGGAAAAAAAGCACTGTTGGAGCTTGTGGACTGTCAGCATCTTCAAACACATAGCACTCCTTCAAGTTTTCCCTGTCTTCCTCACTTATCTCAATTTTGGGAAATGGAATTCCTTGCCCCAAGAAGTACTTCGCAATCTGATCCAGAGGCTGAATGAATGAATAAAATAAATAAAATTAATACAAAAAATCAAAACTGATCCAGAGACCTGGATATTTTAAATCCCAGCAGCTAGTAGCTAACAGGAATATTTTAAGGCTTGAATCTTCCTCTGGGAAGATGGAAATAGCCATAACCACACCAGATATTGCATCTTATCTTATTTTCCACATTGTTTTAGGCAAAATAAGAAAACAGTCCCTTTCTTTGAACTTGAAAATGAAGCCAAAAGCCACAGGACTAATTTCATAATTCCAGTGAAACAAGTTCAGAAGGGGAAGGCAAAGAAACTGCAAGAATGGAGATGAAGCACATCAGTCCAGATTATTCTGTATCATTGTCTTGACATATTCATTATTTACCAATTTCCCAGTCTTTCTGTCCTCTCCATAATTGGTGATTGCTTGATAATGACTCCCTGTTAACAAATACACTTATCAACATACCTTATGATCTCATGAAAAAAAAACTTTAACAGCTATATTTACTATAAACCTATGTTTATTTTTATATTATTCTCATTATATATG